GCGAGACTTAAAGCAATTTTTTCTCTAGTAAGAAAGATGACGTCATGTATGCTATTTTTCAGTCTGTTGAAGACTAGGCCTTATAGACTTATTAAAATCCTAGAGTCACAATAATAATCCCAGAGCAACTTGCTTGACTTACAGGTTTCAAGGATCTGACCCCCTTTTTTTCCGGCCTAACTATGGGCTGGAGGAGAAAGATTTAGGTGAAGGCTTCTCTTTCTGTGTTGAAATTGTACCTGGTGTGAAACTGCACACTTGGGCTTCCGGATCAAATGTCTGCTCCTTGCATCAGGGAGGATTATAGGAAGGATTATAGATGGCTTCTGGTCAGAAACAGTATGTGTGGTTTTTTTTTTTTTGCATAATCAAACTTTAATTTTTTTAATAAGTATTCCTCAACCCATAGTCTCTTTTTGATTGTTAAGGAAGGAAGTCAGTTTTCCGGTAAATACTTAAATACAGCACCATCTCCTAGTTTACATAAAACACTTTTACATGAGGTCATTCACTGCAATTCTGAATCTGCCTTGTGTTTAACAAAGGCACTGCCTAGACTCACTGGGTGACATCTTGTGAATGAAGGACTGAATGACTAGATTAATGGATAAATCCCAAAGACATATGCAGTACAGTGTGACACATGACTTGATTGTGTTTTCAGTATTTTAACTATTTATTTTAATGTTTACAAAGTGCCCTTAAAGGTGAATATGGAGGGTATTTTACTATTTTCTTCTCCTCTGCTATATCTGCATTTGCTGGTGGATTTGTGTTCTTACAAAGTCATGTATATATGTGCCACAGTGAGGATTTGAGACATTTCAATGGATGATAATAATTATCAGTATAAGGGTGTATGCTCTCTCTTAAGACAAAATAGTTACTGTTCATAGCTAGAATTTAATAATTCCTACTTTTTTTTTTTTGAGTTGGAGTCTGTCGCCCAGACTGGAGTGCAGTGACCGCTCCTGGCAACCGCAGCCTCGACCTGCTGGGGCTCTGGCGATCCTTCTGCCTCAGCCTTCCAAATAGCTGGAACTACAGGCACATGCTACCACGCCTGGCTAATTTTTTTTTGGATTTATTGTAGAGATGAGGTCTTGCCAAGTTGCCCAGGTGGGTCTCGAACCCGTGGGCTCAGGCAATTCACTCACCTCAGCCTCCCAAAGGCGCGGGATTACAGGCTGAGCCACCGAGCCCGGCTAATAATTTCTACTTTCATTTTCGTTAAGCACACATTCACTCTACACGATTTATTGAGTATAAAGCACTTGCCTAATTAGGTTTCATTGTACATGAAGATATTGATTGAGCGACAGCATGTGATATAAAATATAAACAGATTTTTATGAACTCATGAGTATAGTCAAGATAGAACTATTGTACAAGTAATAGCAGGATACAGAAATTCATGTGTCATGACTAATCTGAAGAAAATAGGAGCACCATTTGTGCACATTTTGCTGTGAACCCTTGGACTACAGAATAGGAAAGAGAGACTTGATTAGTGTTCGAGTTCAGAAGTATATTGGATCTGTTGAGTTGAGATCCACAGCATGTCATTGGGGTAACCTAAATTTTAAATGGAATTTACCCTTCCGTTTGTGCACTTAAATTGAGGTGTCTGCATGTGCTTCCACCTAATAAACCAAAAACAAAGTAGTCAAAATCAGGGCAGTAATGGAGGAAATGGTGACTGTAAACTTGTAGTAAAATCGTGCTTCATGCCAGGGGCTGAGAAAATGCTGAAAACTACGGTCAGGACTTGTCATAGGCTTAAAATAGACAATCTGCAATAAGACTCTAGCAACCACTGCTGAGATAATAGTCTGTCATCACTGCTCGGAGAATGAACAGACCCCTAAATGAACATGTACGGTTGATCGTTGTCCACATGCAAGAGGAAACAGATGACTAGTTATTCTGCATCTAGTGTGTATCATCTGTTTGGAAGCAGGGCCCTGGGCTTCCTTTGTCTGGTAGAACATTGCCTGACACACGGGAGGTGCTCAATAGGCATTTAGTGGACAAAGGAAGTTAAGCAAGTGGGCTGGAGCATGGAGGATGGCTTAGAACCCCTTCTGGGAGGAGAGAGAGCAGAGTCATCCTAAATTCACTGGACTGGTCTTGAGTGTGGATGTGTGTGCGGTGGGGGGACACCCTTGGTCAGGAATATCAGGCAGTATAAACAGTGAGAAACACTGAATACAAGCACACACACACACACACACACACACACACACACACACACACACACGCGCCATTTTGGGGAATGCTCACGCAGTACTTGATAAATATTTGTTAAATCACTGAATGACATGCATGTTCTCAAACAAATGGCATCATAGTCAAAAATGGAAAGGGACCTCAGAGGTTTAAAAGAGGGGACGAACTATGTGTTTCATGAATTCTGATCCTTGGGGAGAACCAGTTCCCGTGTGTCATCCTTGAGTGGAAACAATGGAAAACTGACTGAGAAATGGTGACTCTGGAACTGTGGGCACTTTCTACTGGAAAGGTCTTTAGGCAGATAAAGGGGTTCTTGGTTTTGCTTCGGCATTACAAAATAAGTGTGTTACAAATCTGGCTAATTTATAGTCAGTAGTAGACATTGGGGATGATTGAATCTCGATAGGCCACACTTTCTGGATCTAGAAAAAGAAGGTAATAACTATTCCGTATGATTAAATGAGATGTTTATAAAGTGCCTTATCTCATTGCTTGGTATATAATAGGTACAGGATCATGGTGGTTTTTCTTTATCTCCTCAATAAATGGTATCTGTGTGACTACTCTTAACATCAAAGAAATAAATTTGTTAAAACATACCACATGGATGATGTCATAGAGGAAAAAAGACCATAATTTATAAGGAACTTATCATTTCATTTGATTAGGTTAAAATTTTTCTCATGTGTTTTTGACAACGATTGAGACCAGCAGTAGAGTTACCCTCATTTTCCTGGTGAGAAAAAAGGGGTGTAGAGAAGTGAAGTAGCACACCAAAGTGAAAGCTGATTAGTAGCTGAGTTGTCTTGTAGGATATGTTTTCTGTTAGTCTTACGTTGTGTGAAATGAGATTTTAAATGTAACAACGCCCAACAAGGAACAGCACAAGAAGGAATGACTATCGATGATATGCACAAGTAGGAACAGCTGTCAATGATATGCACAAGAAGGAACAGTTATCAAGGACATGCACAAGAAAGAACAGCTATCTATGACATGCACAAGAAGGAAGGGCTACCAATGACATGCACAAGGAGGAACTACTATTGATGACTTGCACAAGAAGGAACACCTACTGATGACATGCACAAGACAGAGTGGGTATCGGTGACATGCACAAGAAGAAATGGCTACTGATGACCTGCCCAAGAAGGAAAAGCTGTCGATGACTTGCACAAGAAGGAACAGCTATCGATGACATACACAAGAAGGAACAGCTGTCGATTACATGCACAAGATGGAACAGCTGCCAATGACATGCACAAGAAGGAACAGCTGCCAATGACATGCACAAGAAGGAACAGCTGCCAATGACATGCACAAGAAGGAACAGCTGCCAATGACATGCACAAGAAGGAACACGTATCAATGGCAGGCACAAGAAAGAGTGGTTATCAAATGCGCAAGAAGGAACACCTATCAATGACACACACTAGAAGGAGCGGCTATTGATGACATGTCCAAGAAGGAAAGGCTATCTATCACACACACAAGAAGGAACATCTACCAACAACTTGCACAAGAAGGAACAGTTATCAGTGACTTGCACAAGAAGGGGTGGGTATCGATGACATGCACAAGTAGGAGCAACTGTCAATGATATGCACAAGAAGGAACAGTTACCAAGGACATGCACAAGGAGGAACAGCTATAAATGACATGCAAAGGGAAGAAGGATTTGGAGAGTGACTCATGGGAGAAGTCAGAGATCCTGCTCAGGCCATGGAGCGATGGGGCCAACACACGCGGGCTTTGGTCAATGCCTCAGGTAACGAGCTCAGACCTTTTCTTGGATCTTTCAGCATCAGGACCAGCAGGGAACTCCACAGGAGGCAGATTTGTTTGTCAACATGCTACAAAGCTCATGTTTCTCTAGTAATGGCCTAGCAACTTCATATATCTGTTCTCAGAGTTCCTTTACATAGACATTTGCTTTGTTTCTAAGAGAATGCATAAAGTTAGTCTGGGTAAAATCCCATTCCATGACCCTGGAGCTTTTTGAGCTTTTTTTGGTAGCAAAGTCTTACCCCCGTGTCTGTTTGAAAATGAGAGCGAGAAGCGAGCAAAGCTAAATTACACCATGAGGTTAGAGAGACATTTGGAAATGGAAATGAGTTTATGTGGAAGGTCAAGTGCCCTCACCCTGTGGAGGTCACTCCTTCTCTTGATCTTTCTTCTCTGATGGACTGAGTCAAAATTGAACCAGAGTCTGTTTCAGCCCTTTGAAAGGAAATAACACCATTAACGGAAGTTACTAAAGAAAGATAGAGAAGCATTCGTTTTTTTTTTTATGTGAACAACTCCTAGAACCCAAAGTAGGAAGCATCATGTCAATATTCAGATGGAAGATATATTTTTGAAAGCTCAGACAAGTATAACATTGTGTTCTAGCTAACTCAGCAGCTAATGAAAGCCATTGATTAAACCACTAGCAAGTATGAGTTGTTTTTCTTTTTTTTAAAAGAGAGACATAAGACACTTAAGAGAGGGGGAGCTCATAGACCCTGAAATTTCTGAATTTATGCAAATAAGATGGAAAACAACTCTCCGTGATTTGTTAGCTTTCCTACAGAGCGAAAGCATATCCAGATTTTATGAAACGGAGAAGAATGAATGCCTAAAGTAGGTGGTTTCTTTGAAAAACAGTGGTCAGCTGATGTTTGTCAAGGTGTCAGGAGATGAGAACAGATGGAATAGTATTTAAGGGGTTCTGTTGCTTCAGGGCTTTTTTGAGCTTGTTTTTTTACTACTGTGTGACTTTTCTGGAGACTTATGGAAGCTCGGATACCTCTCCAAGACAATATTTAAAACGCTAAGACCTGTCGCGGAGAGTCAGCGGGGCTGGAGGGATGAAGAACCGAGGATCACAGGGAAGACAGGTATTTCTTTCCCGAGACTGCTAGTCACACCGCCATTGGTGAAGCTGCCACGTAGAAATAAAAGAAATAGAAAAAAGAGGGGAGTCCAGAGAAAACAAGCAGGCCAGACAGCATTTGAAGGCAGGGTATTTCATTTGAAAATATGTTCTGTGAAAAACAATTACAAACACAGATCTATTGGTTAAAAAAGCAAAAGCAAGACTGCATTTCTCTGCACATGCAGTGCGTGCATTGACTTTGATGCTGTGTATCTTCCTTGTAGAGATTCAGTGTGTCTGTTACTTTCTTGGAAATGGTTAAAGGGTTTTGGGTAGCACGTAGACGATTTTTGGCGACCGGAAGGTTCTAGACTGCATATCTGTAGCGCCATCAGTGCACTGCAGACTCTCTCTTTTACGACTCTGTCCACCCACCTCCCAGCTTCTGAGCCCTCTGCTTTCTTCAGAGGACGGCCCTGGCCAACTGGGGGTGCTTCACCCTCAGGCACAAAGAGCTGGAAAGTGCCAGGGAGCTTATGGCCCCCTGGGGTGGCCCCTAGCTAATGTCTGACTGTGATCTGGACTGCGAAGACCCCACTCCTTTCGAACACAAACCACATTATTTTTATACAACTTACACTTCAGAAGTCCCCATGGGATCAGACTGAGAGGAAGATGGTGCCTGAAATAGCCCCCTTGACTGATTCCTTCCCCTCCTTGCCTTCTCCCCGCTTCAAGAGTTTTTCCAGAAGTACTTCCTTCATCCATCACTTGCTCAGGGATTTTCATCTTGGCATCTGCTTCTGGGGAACTTGAAACGAGACAACACACACACACACACACACACACACACACAAACATGCATCACATAAATGATTTATTAAGTGTCTAGGTACTGTAAAAATACATAGATCTTACTATACCCAGAGACTAGGGTATACTAAGATGGTGGACGTCACAGTAGATAATTTAAGTTTTATGCATACAGAAAATAAATAAGTGCTCTTTGCTATAAAAGCAAAGTATTATTCTTTTCTAAAAAACAACCAAGTAGATATTTACAAAGGTTTTCCCATAATATGGCTTTCAAAAGCAAAAATAAAACAAAAAACACACAGAAAAAGACCCAGGGTTGGTTTTCAGTTAAGTGCGATCTGTTGAAAACTTCTACATACTCATGGATTACATGGGTTAGATCAGATAGGTTTTTCTTTACCGTAATAAGTTTGTGGACTGGATGTGTAAAGGGGATCCAGTATATCCTAAGCTAGATTATAAAGAGTTTGATTGATTCCTAACATAATTCCCATGGTTAAGCCCGTTGACCTAGGCGACCACAGTGATGTCATCGCTTTTCTTTTCTGCAGATCTGAAAACTGCTTCGTCCAGCTCATCTAGAAGTCACCCTTGTTCAAGTGGCAGTGAAGACGGCTCTGCAGTGGGGCCTGGGGAGGCCCACACTGAAGACGACACGGGTGAAAGTGCCAGAAGTGCATCTTCCGAGGAGCTGAGTGAAGACGAGTTGCCAGAGAAACCGCACCTTCCACCTGAGGAGCCCTTAGACATGAAAACCGGAGACCAGGAAATAGCAAAAACAGAGGGGGAGACCGAACCTCTGCCGGGAGAGGACAGCTTTGAGAAGGTTCTTGAAGAAGAAATGGAGAGAAGAAGCCCAGGGATTACAGAGAGTCTGTCTGAGAAGGCCAGGAAACACGCCTCTGAGGCAGACGAGGAAAAGGACCCGAGGAGCCCTTGGGAAGGAAGCCCTGCTGAGGTGAAGGGCAAATGGGCAGGTCTCCCTGGGGTGGAGAGAGGTGGTAAGTAGCGCCACTGAGCTGACCTGCCGTTGTCCTTTGCATGGGAGCTGATTGTGGTCACTGCTTTCTGCCAAAGCTCGGGAAAAAATATTGGGGTTATGCGTCAGGGATGCAATATTTTTCCCGTTTCTCTCTTTGTCACATAATCATACGTGTATTTTCAGCTTGCTGCTTTCCTTCTATTGCATTTTAAGAATCACTTAATACTTCTTTTATAGCCTGTTTCCTATTTTCTGTAAATTCCTTTCTATGGTATGCCCATCTGGAAAAAAACAAATAAAGCACAATACGTGTCTGAAGGGCCAGGGTATGTGTGGCTTTTAGAGGTTATTTAATACTAGCAATGCTATTTGTTCTAGGATATTTGTGGATCTATATATACGCAGCTAACACTGATCAGTGCTTACTATGTTTTAGGCATGCTTCTGGACACTTACGTCTATTAACTTATCACATCCTCACAAAAGTCCAATCTCCCGATTATCATCATCCTCTTTTACAGATGAAAATAATGTAACCTAAAAAGGTTGATTAAGTTGTCAAAGATTATACTATTAATAAGGAGCATTCTTACGATTTGAATTCGGGGTGCTTCCAGTGTTTCTGCAAATTTCCCCTTGTATCTGTGTAAAAGGATTTTGGACTCACATAAAAATGTGGAAATCTCTTAAGAAATTCCAAACTTCATGTTGAGTTCTTCTCTGAAATGGAGTCGCTTTCTGCTCCCCGGGGCTCCTGGGTGTGTGGGGTTGTTCCATCTGACACAGAAAGAGCGTCAGGACCATCAGGACCCAGGACCTTAGACACATGGCAGGCCAGATGCTTTTCCCAACTTCGGGAGACCGTGGAAAGACTGAGCCGGGCCCTGTGGACAGCCGGATTGCGCTGCCAGGCATCTGGCGCTCACGTATCATCCTGTTCTGCGTTCTTTTCACTGTCTGTCACGTGTTTCCCCTGCCAATGCGGTGGGCATTCTTCCTGATTCTAAGTTAAAATGTGCTGCCACGTGTTAACACTACTAAAATCCTGCTGCGTTTTAAAAAAGTTAGGAACACTTTCAATATCTATGCTTCTTTTAGGCCCTTAAAAGTTATTATGAAGCCACTGGGGCCTACTTCTAGGCATTGAGGGTGTTGAAAGACTACCTGTCATTTCAGCCATTACTATTAATCTTCTGCAATGCGCAAGGGACCATAGCCAATGAGAAATGTGTAAGAGAGTGTTCCTCCCATAAAATGTGATGAGGAAGGCTTGCCATACCACTGGACACAAGTTGGTAGTTTATATGTAAAATCAGAAAAAGTACAAAATGCTTCAGAGGAAGAGAGGTCCCACTTGTTTGAGGACACCTTGAACATTTTTATCAAGAGCGTATTTGAGAGACTTTAAAGGTTAGATAAAATTTTGAAGGTGGAATGCAGATGACCAAAAGCTTTGCAGATAGTGGGGTATAGCGAGGCTTGGGAACATTGAACGAGTTATCAAAAATAACTCTAGAATAAACAGAGCTTGATAAACTTTGACCTGTGAACCAAATATAGCCCACCACATTTTTTTTTTTTTTTTTTTTTGCTTGTCTGGTATTGTCTGTGAATTAAGAATGGTTTTTATATTTTTTAATGGCCCACAAAGCCCTAGGAATTTACTAACTTGGCCTTTACAAAAAAGTTTGTCAGTCCCAGCTCTGGAATTATACTCCAAGGATTCCCAACACTTGCAAAATGATTTTGCCATCTATAAATCAAGATTCTTGTTAAAATATATTTTAAACCCTTTAATAAAATAATTCAAGTATTTAATCTTGGATTTCATTATTATATTCTGGTACATATAAAGTATAATCTAGAAAATTTGCATAATTTGGCAAGCTGCTAATCTGAAAGGTAGAGGTGTTAAAGTTCAACACCAATACTGGCATTGTTTCTGTTTTTAAATTTTCACTTCAGAAAACTAGATTGTTGCCTGGATCTATGCAAGTAAACATCATTTTGTAAAGTAGGGTGGCCATCATGGAAGTTATTGTGATCCTAATCACAGAATTCGAAGGACAGAATAGCAAGGTTGTTGAACTATGATCATGTTACCTGGAAGATATTTGAGTTTTTTTTCTGGATTTGTGAAATGAAAAATATATTGGTTTATTACCCTTTTCAAATACATCAGGAAACCTATGCTCTTGACTTGATAACATCTATAATTTTAAAATATGATATTATCTTTATATTAAGGTGAGTTCAAGACAAGATGGCAAGATGTGGTACTATTTATTTTTGTTAAGCACCAATATATGTACTAAGGCTCTTTATTGTTTTTATTAACAAATAATGCATACACATGGAATGACATTTTTAAAATAGAGAAAAGTCATCTTGAAAAATTACCCGTAGGTTTATCACGCATAAGAAAATCACTTTTAACATTTGTTCAGGGTTTTTATTTCTAAATTTGGGGTTTCCAAACTTATGTTGTCCAAGTTTTATAAAATACATTCTTAACATTGTTCATAATCATTTTTTATGTTATTATGTAATCTTTATGAACAGGTTTAATGCCTGTGTATCATTTAATTCTGTGATTTTCTTATACATTAACCATTTCCCTATTGTTGGACAGTCATATTTTTTTATTTTCACCATTGGTATTAGTACTTTAGTGAGTGTCTTATGACTTAGGTCATTTCAGATGTATAATAATTTTCTTAGAATACATTTTAAGAGATGTAATTTTGGATTCAAAGACATAGACATTTTAAAGTTTTTGACAAACTACTTTTTTCTCACAAAAGATTGGTTTAAAAGTTTAAACATTATAGAATGGACAAGAATCAAGTGAAAATTAGTCTTTCTTGCCCAACCTCTATTTCTCTAGTCTTTTCCCCCAGAAATAACTGTGGAAAACAGTTTTTGTGTGCACATTCCCCCAAATTATGCATACATATGAGAGGAACCCCCCCAATGGAATGTATTAATTTAAAAATTGTGTATTTTGTGTATTTATTCTTACACGTATACTTCAGACCCCTTCAAGGTACTCTCCGTTTGATGCAATACTCCTCTCGAGATGCTTTTGCCACCACTCAAAACAGTTTTTGAACTTGTCAGTTTTGATGCCTTTTGGCGTTTCTATCGTTTTTTGTTTCACTTCTTCCACATGGGCAAAATGCTTCCCTTTGAGGGCCTTTTTCACCCATGGAGACAAAAACAGTGGCTCAGGGCGAGGCTGGGTGAATAGGGACGGTGGGGCATGGGGCTCATGCCGTTGTTGGCTAAAAACTGCTGAGCATTCAGAGCAGTGTGGGCAGGTGCCCTCGTAAATCACCCATCACGAGATGGGCAAATGTGTTGACCCCCCCAAAAAATTCACCAAAGCCAAATGCAGCCTGTCACAGCAATGCTAGCTGGTCCACTGATGCCGGTGGGCTCCTAGAACACTTACCTGGCAGGGGAAGCCTGTACGACAAGGGGCCCACCCTCCAAAAAAATAATTTTGGTTTTGTCTGGGTCCCCCCTCATGTATATATGAAAAATATCTGGAATGATACACAGACGTTAAACAGGTTCATAAAGATCACATAATAACATGAAAATGATTATGGTATAATATTAAAATAAAAGCAGAATGTGTTATAAAGATACGACAACATAACTTTGTAAACCCTAAGTTTAGAAATAAAAAACATGACCAAAAAAGTGATATTTGTGTGTTTGATAAACGCACGGGTAATATATGTACATATACACATACAAATATATGTGTGTGTACATATGTGTACATATATGTGTATATCTGTGTGTATATGCATAGGTAGATAGACATAGACACATTAATATATATTTGTTTACATATGTTAATTTTATGAGTAGATGGAAACATAAGATACATTTTTTCTGTGACTTGTTTTTTCACTTATCATTATATCCTATGTGTCTTTTCATGTCAGCATCCGTCTGTATTTTATTCTTGTTCACCTTACATGTTATTTTTGTATTGCCAAAATATTTGATAACTTTGCAAATGTTCTTTAAAATGTGTTGCCTACTGTGTAAGAACTCATAGTTTTGCTCTCTGGGTCATCTTGCACAAAAGAACAAGATTTCTGGATTATGAAAGCCCAGCATCAGGGAACATAAGGAACACTGGAAAATATAACATTCATAGGTAAAACAAAACAAAGACCTTGTCAAATATTCAGAATGTTGTAGAATATTTAATGCTATCAAAAACCTAAGGATGAGTAGATTTTAATGGTTGGTGCTGAGGATAATGCAATAAATTTGTTAGTATTTTAAATGATGAATTTTAAAATTCATAAATATACTCAAAGTTTTTTTTTATGTGAATACAATTTTCTAAGAAAAATTTCAGATAAAATCATCCAGGTCTTGATTGTTTAGTTTATTATGCTGATATCGATGCCAAGCAAAGACATTATGACAAGTTTTTCTTCCTTAATGGAGTCTTCAGTGAGCTGGCTCAGACAGAAAGTAATGGAGCTGAGGTTATAGCTTGGGAAGAGGGTCTGTTTAGGTGGCTTTTCTGCAAAACACTCTTTTCACAAATTAGACCATAAAGCTGGTGAAATGTGCATATTTTGCTTGGATCCCTGACTAGAACTTTTGGTAGATATAAAATGAGGGCTGAAATAATAAGTAAAAGACTATCTCTCATATTTGTATGGTACTGAATTAATTATTCTTTAGTTAGACCTAGAATAAAAACTGTAATTGTGTTAAGAATAAATCTATGGGCTAAAATTTATATACAGTTAATGAAGTTTTGCAGTGTCTAAGCTGATACAATTTAATCTGAATTGTTTTTATTTAAGATCATATCAGTGGATAGAAAAGTACAATCATTGCTTTCACACCTTTTAGGTTGATGGCATGAAATAATATTTTCCTTTCCACTGTTTTATAATATGTCTCATTTAATTGGGCTTTGTCCAGTCCACAAACAAATCCGATTAATTGTATAAAAGATGTGTTGTACACAGTGAAGTA